AAAAGTTCAGTGTGGATACTTACAGGAAGGGGCCCCAAGTCATTTGGGTTTAAAGCCGCTTTTGACCGTAAGTGAACTGGAAATTTCAGTCGGGGATCTTCCTGAAGAGATAAGCAAACTGTTGTAAGAACATCCTTACTGAAGTTACATCTTTATTAAGGCCTATGATACTGAACTTCCTCCCTCCCTCCCTCCCTCCCTCTCCACTTAGATTTCAGAAAGTATAATTTTTTTTTGCAGCAAAATATTTAACATTACTTCTTTTGCACATGAATGCAAGCAACTAACATGCAGCCCTTTTCAAGAGACCGTGATATAGTTACTTTTTCAGTAAATTAGGTTAGAGATGACTTCATTTACCAGAAGATTGTATAGCAAACTGTTTCTTTTTCTCCTATTATCTGCAGAAAAGTTGGAAGAGAGGCACTGCATTATGCCTTGGCTGGGATCCTGACAAAACTCTAAGGGAAGAGATTTCTACAGCAATGAGCAGAATCAAGTTATTCTGATCTCATGCAGCCACATTTAAATATTAGATATGTAAGAGAGCCAATTTGGTCTAGTGGTTAAAGCTCCTGGGTAGAAATCGGGAGACCGTGAGTTCTAGTCCTGCCTGAGGGATTATTAAATACTTTCTTTAATTGTTAACTGACTCATCTCATTGCTCCTTATTCTACAGGCATGTGAAGAGCCATATATGAGTTAAAATGAAAAATCTCAGATTGTCCTGTATGTTTCTTAAGACAAGGAAACATATAGGACACTTGCTTCTCTTTTATATTACTCCAAAATGCTATGCATTATGATGTAATCTTTTATTTGCTGTTGGAAATGATGAAAAATTGAATATATTTTTTTGCCAGAGTATGATTTTATGTAGGAAAGAGAAGAAGAGAATGACCAGATGCAAGGGGAATAGACTCAGTTAAAGTAGCAATAAGTGAATTGTGGGAAAACTGAAGGACCAGATTATGGACAGACCATCATAGAGAAAGCCTGTCTACATGATTGCTGAGAGAGAATGACTTTATGACATATAATTAATCAAATCAAATCAATCAATGATTTGGGGCACAATGGCAGATATTTAAACTATTGTAAACTGAATCCATGACAGGAAAAACCCTATTGAAA